AATAATACAATAATAGAATAACTAATACTAAATAATAATAATAATAATATAATAATAATAATAATAACTAATAATAAGAATAATAATAAATTATTCTATAACAGAGTAATAGTATTGTATTATATATATTAAAATTGAGAGAAGTGTTATATATAATAAGAATTTGTATTATTTTATTTGATGAGGATTTTGTAATGTTTAAAAGAATTAAAGCATTTGAGATTTTATTAGTAAGAATGTTTTGTAAGTTGTAGAAATGAAGTGAATATTGAAATAAGTATTCAATACTTTTATATTGATTACAATATGAACAATTTGGAGTTAGATATAGGAGAGGATAGCAGATATTTAGATTTAACATTGTTGATAGATTATTGAGAAGTATTTTGTTTCTAATAAAATATAATTTGAAATTGAAGTTTTGGGAGTTGATAATTTCAGTTAATAATAGAAGATTTATAATTAGAAGATTTTATAATAGTTTGAATTAAAGAAGTTTGTTAAATGTTTAAATTAAGATTAGGTTCTTACAAAATTTACATAGTTTGTATATAATTGAAATTTGTTTTCAAGAAAAGTAGATGGGTAGATAGAAGTGATTAAGATTGAATTTTAATTTAGTTTTATTGGCACCTTGTTTAGCTAAAGAATCAGTTATATTGTGTAAAGTATTTTTTGAATGTGATTTAGCTTTGTGTATAGTGTAATTGATGTTTTTGAGTTTTATTAAATAATTAAATATATGTATAATATCCCAATTATTTTGTTTAATTTGTGAATTATAGTAGTAAAGTAATACATTTAAGAGTGTTTGAATAATAGATAAGCTGTTCAGATGAATATGAATTTGATAGTTAGTAAGTAGAATAAGAAATAGAGGAATAAGTACTGCTAATTTAGCTCTTGTTGAGTTTGGTACATGAGTTATAGAAGCATTAAATTTGATTTGTATATTCTTTTCAAGAATCTGAGTGATATCTATTAAGATGTTATTTGTTTGTGAGTTGAGTATAGAGGCATCTGTATAAAAGTTTAGATTAGTTGATTTTAGAAATAGAATTTTTTTATAAAGATCGATGAGTTGGTTTTGATAAATAGGATCAGATATTGTGTTTTATATTAAAAGAATTTCTGATAAAGGTATTAAAAAAAAGAGTAAGAATTGGGGAACTGGTTTATATAACTCTGTATAAATGTTTTAAAGTGTTTGAATTTCTTGATTATTAATGTTGAATTCAAAGTCATGTTGTTTTTTTTGTGTTTTGCATTTTAAGTAAATAGTATTTTTGTAATTGATTTAAACTATTATAGATATAAGAGAAATACAAATTATGTTGAATGTTAAATTAATAATTTAATAGTTTTGAAAGAATAGTAATGAGTTGAATTTATTTATTATTTTGCTTATATGCCAGTTAGAAGATAAGATGTGAATTGTTCATATATTTTTGAGGTTATCCAATTGAGATATAATTAATTTAAGTGTATTTAGAAATAGATTTATTGGTAGAAGTTAGATGTTAGGCCATATGTGTGTTATAAGAAAAATGGATATTTGGTTTGAAAGTATTTAAACTAGCTTGGAATAGGACTTTGAAAAAATTTAAGATTTCTTAAATATATGTTTTTTCAAGAAAATAAATTTAGATTGTTAGCTGTAAGAAGTTATTTGAGAAAAAGAATTTTATTATTTTTAAGCCTAAAAGTTGTTGAATTATTTGAAAATGAAATAAAGTTGTAAATGTTGTTTAGTTGATTAGTTTGTTTGTAAGTTGATAGCTAAGTTAAATAGAAGTTGTTAAGAGATATATTGTTTTTATATAAATGATAGAGTTAGAATATTATAATGAAATTAGTAGTTTTCTTATAATTTTTTAGAATTGTGTCTTGTATTAGAAATGGCTTCCATATTTTGGAAAACCATTTCTTAATTCAGTGTATAGTAATTTGGTTTAAAAGTTTATTAGTGTTGAAGCATCTTTTTAAGTTGTTACTACTAACTTATAAAATAAATTTATTTAGTATAGAGATATTGAATAATTGTGAATTAGTAAGTATATTATTGTTTGTATTTGTAGATAATGATGTATATGTTTGGTATATTTTATTAAAAGACTTGATAGTTATTATAATTGGTTTTGTAAAAAAGAGCAGATTTGAAATAAGTATTCAATTGATAGTGAAAGAATAGTATTAAATAGTCAAGATATTTGTATAGGAATAAGTTTTTTGTATTAGATTATATAGGTGAATTAAGATATTTTATTAATAATTTTTTTAAGTATAGGTTTAGTTGATCTTTTTTTTATCTAAAAAAATATCTAAGTATTTAATTGAATCATTAGATTTGCAAAGTATAATTGGTTGATTATTAAAGTTTAGAGAATTTGTATCTTGGGTAGTATTTAGAGATATTTTTCTATTAAATATAATATGAATAAAATATGATTTAGATGAGTTAACTTGTATGTTATTTAGTTGGTAAAGTTTAGATATGTTATTTAGAATATTTTGAAGATTATTTTTGGATTCACAATACTATACTATATCATTTATGAAGTCAAGAAATGGTATTGTTATAATGGTTGGTGTAGTTGAAAAGATTGTTTTTAAGAAAAATTGTGATAAGATTTTAAAAAGTTTTAAGTTGTATTTTGAGTTTATATAGCTAAGAATAGGAACATAGTAAAATTTTTCAGAATAGTAGAGAATAGGTTTTTCTTTGTTTATGTCTGAGTATAATATGATTGGGTTAGTAAGGCTATAGCCAATAATTACTCTGGTTTTTCTATCTTGATGAAAGAATTTGATAAAATTTAAACCAGCTTAAGGAATATCAATATATTTGCAAGCATCTAACAATTATTAAATATTGATTTTGTCAAAGACCTTAGACATATCTTAAAAGAATATCTATGCCTCTTTGTTATTAGTTTTGTAATGTTTAATTGTGTTTAATAATATTTATATAAGAATATAAATTGAATTATTTTTAGTTGTTGTAAAGTTTAAATTACTTAATAAATGATATTGAGTGATTATTTGATCAAGATGGGTTGTAAAAAAATTTTGGTAAAATATTTTTTTATAAGTTTGATTAGTGAAATAAATCTGACTTGGTCTAAAATGAAATCCTATAAGAATTTTTTTAGGATTAGAAAAATATTAAATGTTTTTTATAGTATTTGAATTTGTTGAAATATAAGTTATTTTAATAAAAATACTTGAATTATATTTTGACCTTTAGAGTTTAGATATTTTAAATATTCATAATTAGTTTCAAAAAAATTAGTAGTTTTTTGATTAGGAAGATTATATATAACTTTGTTTTACTCTTTTGAAATAATTTCTGAGAAAAAATTAACAAAGTATAGTTCATTTTCTGGGTATGCTTTATATAGTTCATAATATTTTGTATTTTTTAAATTAGTAAATATAGTAGTTTTTTAAAGTATTCTTGAAAATAGGATTGCAAAACTTGTTTTATTTCAGTTGGTTGAGTAGTAAGTATATTGTTAGAGAGGAGTTGATCTAAGGTTATACTATTATTTTGTTTTTCTAAGACATTTTGAAAAAATATTTTAAAATTTTAGAAGTTATTGTTCCTTTCTTTGATTTTGTTTTGGATTTTTTTTATTATATTTTCTTGTTTTTTTTTGAGAATTTGCAATTTTAGTATTTTGATTTCAGTAATAAGAAATATTAAAAATGAAGTAAGAACAAAATTGTTATTAGTTAATGCTAAATAGAAAGATGATATTAAAGTGTTTTGTAAATATTTATTGAAATATAAGTTATAAGTTTGTAAAAAGTTAGATTTGTTTAAGATTGTTTTAAGAGAGATTGCTTGTTTGAATAGTTTATATAGTGATGTAAGAGAGGATGATTGTTGTTCATTATAATAAAAATTGATTTTAATTTTTTTAAATAGAATATGTTTTTAGACTGTTTTGGTTAGAACTTTGTTAATTTGATTCTATATATTGTTGAGTTCTGAGTTTTGAATAATGTTAGTAATAAATATGAAAAGTGATTGAAGATTTTGTTTTGTATAATACTGATAATTTTCTATTTGTTCATTTATAGTTAGCTTCTATTAATATTTAGTTCTTGTTTCAAATAGTTGCAAGTTAATTTTAAATAGGTTGATTATGAGTTCAAAAGAAACTATTAAGTGATCAGTTAGAATGAATAGGTTAGATGTTTTAATATTAAATAAAAGGTTCTTAGTTTTCAAAAGGCTAAGTTTTTTAAAAAAAATCTAATTATATCTATCTTTAAGTTGCTATTATACTAACTTCTCTAAAACCAAAAATAATTTTAATTATTTTTAATAGTTAAGTTCTATAATCCTAATAAACCTTTTTATATGCTTCTTTTTGGTTTTTTTTAAAAAGTACTTTAAACTGTATAAATAATGTAAAATTAAATCGATTTAAACAGCCAATTATATGAAAATCTTATGAATTTTGTTCAAGATTACTAAAAGGTTTGCTAATGAAGTTATGACCATAACTTTCGGTAAAAACATGATCATGATTCCATGTGATTGGTTGGATCATATGCGTATCGAGTTAGTCTCAATAATGCTAGCTGAGTTTTCTTAATGCTGGAATTCTATTTTGACCCGGGTCAAAATAGAATTTCTAAATGCCAATAAATCCGATCCGACCCGGAGCGTTCGGATAGAATGTCGTTAAACATTCGAAAGACATATGTACGTGTTTTTCTCTTATATACATTCTTAATTAGTACAGAACAATTATAATAATAGTCATGGGTGAGCTTGTTGACGACGAGTTGTCATTATCAAGAGAGGCTGTTGACGAAGAGTTGTCATTGTCCGAACAAATTTTCAGCCTTTGTAATTCGTTTGGGGGATATGAACGAGTCACAGGACCCGACAAGAAGGTCACTCAGAGGTATCATTTAGGAGACGAATGTTTAGGTATATCTCGCGCTATACGCTGTTAAGCTGCATAATTGATCTGTTTTAGTTTGTAACGCGTATAAACGCGTTAACTCACGCTTAAATGCAAGTTCATGCATAGTTGTTATTAATAAAAGGTTTGGATTTTTATAAAAGGCTGCCTCAAAGACATGAAAGAAATCCTTCGATATAATGACCACACTACTCTTGAAGTGTATTGCGAACTTTGGAAATTAAAAATTTTAGAAAAGGATTTAATTCCTATAATCAAGTTAAATCAGGAACCACTCGATAGTACACAAAGCCGTTTAACATTAGCTTGTGGTAAGCTTAGTTCTGTAAATTTTGATATGAGTTTGTTGGTCGCCGAATTCTGGTGCATGTTGGCACTTGATCGATTTTTATAAAAACATTAAAATTTAGTCCGGAGACATGGCATATCACAGAAGAAATAGCGTTGACTTGTTACGCGTTATTAAAGTAGAAAGAATAACTTTTGCTGACCTAAATTTTCCTAATTATTAATTCAAAAAGTCGAAATAATAGTTCCTATGACATGGCCCTTTGATTTAAACGCCGACATTGATATTTTGGATGAAGAGGATATAGATCTTTCACAAATTAATCGTGCAAAAAAGAAACGTGTAAAATCGCAGTATGATTATAAAGTAACATTTACTCAACATCCTGAAATTTTGAGGATATTACATAGTTTCCTAAAGTCATTTATATTAATGGAAAGGCGGTACGATTTATTGTATTTTATTTTATTACCATTTTCTTTAATGATTCTCACACTATTAATTATTAAACAAAACAGAGAACGTACGCAAAAGGACAACATGAATATACGTCTACTGCTGCATTTATTCCGGAATTTGGTCGCAATCAAAGATCTAACAGATCACAAAATACCGCGAACCACTTTACAGGTTTATAACTTATTCACTATGTAGAAAGTCTTTTGTGAGCAATGCATAATTACGGCACCATATTTTTACGCGTTCATAGAACAAATTAATTACTTTGTACGAACAAGAAGGGATTTTTAAGACTCTTTTCAACCTTGCTTCTGATAACAAAGAATTGTCACTATGGAATATGATAATTCAGGAGACCTTTTACCATGTATTTTATGATGTAGAGCCACAGTCCTTACTAAAGGATCCCAAAAAGGTTATTACATTGTTGCATGTTATGTATTGTCCGATATGGTATTCATAATATTTATATATATATTGGTTTAGGAAGCAGAAACAAGAGCAAAGAAATTGTTAGAAGAGGAGCAAGTTAAAAAATTGAAAAATCAAAACAAAGACACTCGGTATAATGGATCTGTCTGGATTAAAGTACCACCGGTATTTATAGACATAATTTTAAATCAATTGCATTAATAAATTCGGCGAAAGTTGATATCGTTTTATAGGGAAAGGAATTAACTATTCATAAACGAGATGGGATGCAAGGAAATGGGCCGGAAGTTTTGGATAATCTTAAAAAGAGGAAATATCAGAAAACACTGCCTTCGGTGTGTGGTGCATTTTTGTCTGTATATGCATACCTTATTAGTTCTAACACTAAGTTCATCAGGATGAGCTTGACAAAAAGAGAGGAAGTTATGTTATTCATGATCAGGAAGCATATCAATGTTTAAAAGCAACAGCAATCCAGTTCTTTACAAAAACGTTTAATGGCATGTAATTCAATATTTTAACTTGACCAACTTATTCTACATGCTGATGTTAAAATATATTTATTCTAGCACTCGTCGTTTCTGTCAGAAAAAACTTCGAGTCCGGGCATGATCATCCTCAACATTTTGTCCATTTTTTTTACATTGTGTGGTTCTTCCTTGAATTTCGAAATCTTTTACAGTATAATAAGTTACCAAGTATAGCATATGAACCAGGATTTGAAGAGCTTAAAAACTTGTATTATAGTTTTGACCTGGTCCGTGCTATTATGGACTATGAAGGATTCTTATTGGTATTCGAAAAAATCTCTTTTTTCAGAGATCACAAGGTTCGTGAATATATTGAGAAATGTATTTCATTTTTCCGCAAACCTAATACTGTTATTTGATTATGAATTTTTACCATAGCGATGGTCGGACTTGCATTTTGGATTAGATTGTTTTAGACAAATGGTAAATATTTGCTCTATTTAAGTAGTATTTAAGGATATAATTGTGAATGCTTGATACTAACAATGTTTAAATCTAGTTGTTAACTTTACGAGCGATGAAAAGATTTGATGATAAACCTATACGTTACAAAGCAGAATGTATACTTAACCAAATTTACTACGAAGAAGATAATTTGAGAATGATGATGCTGCTTGTTAAAGAATATAAAGATCAATCGTTTGGGTAAGTCAGTTATTTGGCATTCTTTACTTGCATTAATATCAAGTGCCAATGACAGCTTTATGACCATTAATACACTAAAGGTACCTTCAAAGCTTAATTGCCACCATCCATGTTCTTTTGGAAAGGCTTGAAAGTTGTTCAGAAACTACCATCGTAATAGAGGAGATTTCAAGAACAGAGTCGGGTGCGGAAATTTTTTAATTCCAATTACTGTTTAATATAATTAGCGATGTAACAAATTCCTTTGATATACTTTGTAATCAGGAACGAGTTTTAGAATGGAGGAAGAAGATCCAAATACAGATGACAATTATGAAGACATAGAATATGATAAAAAAAATAGGGAAGATTTTAAATCACATAAAAAAAGGTTCGAGGATTATCAAGAGGTAATGTTTTTAATATGTACAGCATAATTATCTTATTTAATGCTCATAGTGTTAATAGATTCTAATTAATAGAGTTTTGTTAACGAATCCGTAATCTCGACGTACTGCTCTTTGCTAGAGTATTATGAGAGAATCGACTCTGAAAGCTTCTATCACATAACCACTGCATTTCATCGAATTATTGTTCGTTGTTCAGCAGAAGCTATCTTTTTTAAGGTAATCACGTAATTATTTCACCATTTTTATTATAACTCTAACTCAATCCATGGTTGCAGCTTTCCATTTTAGAACTTTTGAATCGTATATCGATTTACTTTGAAGGACTGCAATCATTAACAACATCGCAAAGTGAATTTAAAGATTTTATTAGACTTGTATCAGGAAGTTTTTTTGATTACGCTGAAAAGAACGATTTGATGTATTGCGAGGTTTGATTAGCATTATTTTATTGAATGAGTGTCACCAAGTGAAAACAAAGAAACCTACATATAATATATTTATTTGTAACAATAAACATTTAGACTTCCCGGTTTTCACTTGGTGGCATACAAACAATTTATCAAGCTTACAAGATTTATTTAACTGTTTAATTATAGGTTTTCTGTCCTAAAACAAAACATAATTGGAAATGTTTGCAACTTGGTTATAATTTCTTCGATGATATATCGCTTGTTGGAATGGATCAATCTTCGGGACTAGACGGTAACCAACCAAAGACTGAATGATTTTCAGTCCTTGGTAATCTAGGATCAGATAATGGTCTGATGATGAATTACTTAATTGATAAAAAATTAATAAACTATTAAAAGTTAAAGTGCAAAATAATAAATTTTTATAATTTTAAATGATAAGCAGAGACAAAGATATCGTACTTTTCAATATTTCTTAGTGTTGAGGACACATATTAATATAAGTGGTCCTCGTCAAAAGTTTCAAATTCTAATGAACCTGATTATCCTGTTTACCTGACTAATATACATGTATGCCGAAATAAAATCGTATCAATTGGAGTCCACTTACGTGGATTCTGGCACTAAATACACTGAAGTTTTAAACCCGATTAAAATTATAAACGATTCATGCCATAAATAAGATTTAGATTTCGTATCGATCAATGTATATTGGCTTTTTTTTTGAAGAAGAATCTTCTAGTCTTAATGTTAGTCTCTATGATTTATGATAAATTACAAAGCGCATAAGTTTTATTATTGTACAAGTACGATTGTTTAGATGACAATTACCCCACAAGGCTTTTTACATTATTTTTGCACTTACATGTGATGTTTCTTAGTTCAGAATATGGGGACACTTCCGACCATAGCCGGATCCAATAAATTAGTGCAGAACAATCAATCTATACATGAGTGACGGGCAGAGAAAACCGGGATATCTAAAAAAATTCCTAATTCGGGGGATGGCTAAAGCCATGTACCCACGTGACGTGATTAATTCGAAATGTGATTATCACATAATAACTACATATGAGTGACGAAAAGGGAAAACCTGTAAATCATTCCCTCATTATTATCACAGTGATTTCTACCCTGTAAAAATTGATCATCCGATGCAGTAGCTTCGTTCTAGTCGCTTCTGTAACACAAAGGTAATTAATGAAAATCGGATTTTTTTTCCTATAGCAATAGAGCGAAATAGTCTGTTGCAAGCTATAGTTAGAACCGAAAGTAGATCAACACTTTGTTCACAAGGTAAAGAGAGATATCATATTACCTTCTTCTATCTTAGTTCTACAATCGCTTAATCACACATGACACTTAAATTTAGATGGTAACTCTAAGAAAAGTCATTGGTTACATGCAGCCCAATGTTAAGGATAAGTGTTAATTTACTTTTGCTTTGAAATTTTATTTTTATTTTTTGCAAATCAAATTTGCTTTTTATATTTGTAAGCAGCTCAATATGGATTAGAAGAAACAAAACTGCTTTAACTATTTAAAATGCTGTTGCTTAATATTATTTTAATAAGTCATAATTTAAAGATTATATAATTTCTTTCAATCATTATGATAGTTGAGTAAAAAGTAGGTTGAGACTTCAAATGTTTTGTTAAGGGTCTTTAAACAGCAGAGACTGTTAATTTTACACATATATTAAAACTGGTGATGGATTATATTCATTATAATTAAATTCAACATAAATAATTTAATTTGTAATTAATTACAGGTAAGAGGAATTCATTTTGAATCAGGCACTGTCTCTGCTGTAGAGACTTTATTAATTATTGTTTTGTCAAAGGTCTTTAAAGATAAGTTAATGTTCTATTTTCAAAATATTATTTTAAAGTTAAAATTGATAATGATTAATTGTATTAATTATTTTTATCATATTCTAATCATAAATTTTCAGAACTTTATAATCACTCTTTTCAAATTAGTTTGATAAACATTATTTCAATCATTGTGATTATGAATATATATCGTGGTATAATCGCAATTTACTATAAGATTTCTTTTTTTTAAACTAATTATTATTATTTAAATCTTTGTAGTTTGAATATAATTAATTGTAAACCTATAATTATTTGAGTCTGAGGGTTGTTAATACATATAATTTCATTATGAGATTTTTTTTTTCAATTTTATTTGTATTTTAATATAAGCTTGTTTTAAATGATATGATCATTTTTCAAATTAGTTAAATAAATAATATTATTATTACTTGCATTATTGTAATTATTAAATTTATGTAAATTTTAAAATAATATGACAGATTCATGCAAAATCATTATTGTTCTAAAAATTTTTTTTATTGACTTGTCAATCAAAAAATCATTATTGAGTTTAATTTGTATCTTAACATTAGAAGAAAGATCATAATCAACTATTCTATGAAATTATGCATATAGATTTAATAATGCATTAATATGGATTAAAAGATTCATATAATTATTTTGTTAAATTGTCTTAACAATATCACGATTAGTTATTTCATGAAATTATTATACAGCATGGATTGAAAAACACTTTTACAATATTCTTCATGATTTTTGAAAGCCTAAAATGTAAAGTACTTTGGGTATTAAAGACAAATTAATTGTACTTGGGAATATAATATACCTAGACACTAAAGGTAAATTAATTGAGAGGTGTGGCAACCTAGTAAAGTGGATAGGTTGTCAACCTCCAAGTGGCAGATCTAGAGTTCAAATCTCAGTGATAGTGAAATTTTACAATTCTTTCTGTATTATGGCTAACTGTCTTCTGTGATTGGTTAGGATAAGATACCTGTAACCCGTAACATACCAGCATGACTGGAAGGTCTAAGGCACTCATACAACATTGTACGAGGGAACACAAACTGATACTAGGCGGTGTGAACCCAAGATAAGTCCTTAGGCCATGTAAATCAAGGGAACCAGGTAGGAAGATGGAAGCCTACTTGGAAGACCCGAGTAGAGAGGTAACCCGAACCTTCGACGGTGCTACTGTAAAGACTAGACTTATGAAA